CCTGCATAAAGCACTTATTAATCCCAGAATTGAGCTGAAAATATCACTAATTACAAGTGTTTAATGCTAAATTGATGCAGCCTAGCTCAGGGTTATAATGCTGTGTGAGCTTAAGACCAGTCTAGTGCTGAAAGTTCAGGGTCTCAGCTCAGTCTTGGTTCAGAATCTCAATCTCAGTCTTTCTTTCCTTATTCTTGGAAGGAAATTCAACAGCAAATTCCCTTTTTCATTGTGTTTGGCTGTTTAATTGTGATGGCAGAGGTTGTTCAATCCCTAGGCCAAAGCACAGTATAGGCCTTTAGTGATAAATCCCTTCTCAGATCAGTGTTTCATTGTGCTGAGCATCTTTGTGTTTAATAGAAAACAAAACAAAATATTAGAAATACTCTTTATTTTTACCAGATTCTAAATGGAGGAAATGTGTCCAGTTCTGAGCTTGGGTAGGAAATCTACAGGTCACAATATTCTCAAGAGGAAACATTTCCATATGGTTTAAATGGGATTGTGGCAGGGATTTCATGTTAGAATTCCAATTAAACTGCCTCCATCCAGGCCAAGGTAATTTTGCATTGGTTTGTTTTGGGGGTTCTGATGTTCTGCACTGCATTTGTACCTGATTTGGGTCATTTTCACTAGTTAATGATAATAATTAAGCCAAATAAATTGGAGGATACAGATGTTTCAGGTGTGTTTTGGTGACATTCGTGCCCAGTGCAATACTGATAGTTCAATCATTTAAGAACACCTCATTTAAAAAGAAATAATCCACTGTTTAATTACTTACTGCTTGATTTAAATTGAAATTTACTGGTTTAGGTGCTTATTAGTTTACCAAATACAACCCCAAAATTGCCATTGCAGGGTGGGTGTTGGTACACTTCATTTGACTTTGACCCCAGGAGATTCTCTCTGGTTGTGAGAAAGGGAAAATATATCTTTAAATGAGGTAACAGTAAAAGCTCCGATGAGTGTTTAAAAGCCTATTGCGTATTTTTAATAGTTAGAGGAAAAATTAAGCCTATTTTTTGTTTTCTGGCATTTAAGGCTTTGATATTTGTCTGTGGATTTTGGAACTGGACCAGGATGAAAGTTTGAGTCATCTAATGTGAAAACTTGATTTCACAGTTTATGCAGAACCATTTCCTGCAGGAAAAACGGGTGATTGTTGCCCTTATTCACTTCTGAACAGTCAAAATTAGAAAGAACTCATAGTGGAAAAGCTCAAAACAAATTTAATTCTGAAGATTAAATAGATGTTTATATAAATACAGAGAAATGTATATAAATATTGAGATATTTATTTAAATGTAGAGATATCTAAATATTATATCACCTGGAGATGGAGGGAAAATTGGGGGAAAAGCAATTTATTGGGTTTTTTTCCTATTATATATATGGTTTTTTATAATTTTTATATTTTACATGTTTTTATTATACAAATTTTAAGACTTCCATTTCTTATTATGGTATCAGAGTTGACATTTTACTTTGCAGGATATAGGGGAAAACTGGGGAGAACAAAAACTTTTCTGAATTGATCCCATGTAAAAATCTCTATTTCCAGAGGATATCTGTATTGATCCAGGGCTGCCCCATGCTAGGAAAATTCCAGTCCTGAAATCCAACCTGTTTCCATTCAAGTGCCTTCACCCTGCTGGAAATGATCCTGAGGAGAACTTCAAGAGAAAATAGGATCATCTGTTTCCAGGGAA